ATGGTCTGGAGTTCTGAATTGCCTCGATCTGTGCGAATACAGTGAGGTATTCTTCGTACGTGAAGTAATGCGATCCTAACACCCTACGAATATGTGTTTCATTTGTTTAATGGAACCCTCCCATAACCTTCCGGAGTGAGGTGCATAAGACGGAGTAAATTTCCATATTATTCCTAACTGAGATGCAGCTGTTACCAAACCTTGTCTAGTCATATCCAATTTAAAATACCTATATAACTCCTTCAACTCGTTGTTGGCTCCTACGAAATTCTTCCCATTGTCACTATGTATGATAGAACAACAACCCCTACGAAAAATGAACCGTCTCAACGCAGCTAAAAAGGCATCAGTTGAGAGGCTAGAAACTAATTCTATATGGATTGCCTTGGTCACCTTACATACAAATAACGAAATATAGGCCTTAACTCGAGGAGCCTTCCTTAAACGACTTGATCTCAACAATATTGGATCAGCAAAATCTACCCCAACTACCTTAAATGGGCGATGTTGAGTGATCCAATCTGTTGGGAGACTACCCATCAGTTGACTAGCAGCAGCCTTAAAACGAGCACACTTACAACAATTATGAATAATTTGCTTTAAGGCGTTACGACCATTAATTGGCCAATAATTCGCCTGTTAGTGTGAGCTGCCCTTCTAATTCTTCTAATTTTGACGCGGTTTAACTCGACCAGTACTCGGTCACATTACCGGAGTTTTAGATTTTGATAATACTCCTCCAGGGTGTTTTGCGTATAATCTGGAAAACGCAAATTCTCTTCGGCATTACTAATCAGCATTGCCCGATTTCCTTTCTGTTGGTAATCTATTCTATCTATGCAAACGAACTTTAGTAATTTCAATTGCAACCAAGCATGCATTCGATTAAATTCTGAAACATCATCATCTAAATTATGATCTACCGGCATTATATCATCCGGGTCATCAGGACTGGATAGTAAGGAACGTTTCTCCATCTACAGCCTGGAATTGGGTTTGACGCATAAAAGTTGCGTCTGATGTTTTGGATTGTTGCTCCATTGGTCAGACTAACAACCACCTCTCTTAAATTGTGGTATCTCACTTTTCCCGGCATTGGGATAATCTGATTCAACCTTACATTTCCCAGAACGGTTTGAGTCCCTGCATGCAACAGTCGCTCATGCTCTGACTTTAAAAACATACGAACAATTACGTGTTTTTTGTGTAAAATAATGGGGTGTTTCTGGTCAAAAGAGATGTTTGCATGTTCCAATCTCTCAATCCACCTACACGCAACACGCCGTCAGCATCCCTAAATGGGTTTAACGATTTCAACTTCAGATTTGAGACCTTATCTGTCTCTAAATCTTCATCACTAGTTATAGAGAATGTTTCTAACTGGACCAAATAAAATATCCTACGTGTTGCAAACTGAATCTCAAATGCTGACAACGGATCACAAAGAGTTCTGCGCTTTTTCCTCCTTCTGAGACAATATGCGACAATCCTAACAAGCTTGCTAAACTTGGATATCCTATCTGCCAAAGACTTTAGAGCAATACCGATATCATCATCATCCTCAGTATTCGAAACAGCACAAAGTACCCGTCTTTCCGGCAGATTATCTATTGGTGGATCACAAAACCTATTTGGCCAATTTTCTCTGGTGCTACAAAGCCAAGATGGCCCGTGCAACCACAGATCACAGCTCAACAAATCATTAGCAATTCTAACACCTCTTGACACAATGTCTGCAGATTATCCTTGCTAGATACATGCTTCCACATAACTGCTGGAGTTAATTCTAAAATTGGAAACAAACATTTTCAACTGTGAGGGTTCTGTACGCAGCCACGCAATAACAATACTAGAATCACTCCACAGAAATGATTCGTTAATCTTCACAACACCATTAGCCATAGCATGCCTATATAATTTTGCCAATAACAACGCTGCTAACAATTCTAACCGAAGAAGTGTCACTTGTTTTAACGGAGCAACCTTAGATTTAGAACATATTAGATGGCAGGAAATACTACCATCTTCATTAGTCGCCCGTAAATAAATACAAGTTCCATAAGCTAGTAATGAAGCGTCCGCAAAATCGTGACACTCTATGCATACAGGAATCTGCTTGAAAAGACAACGCGGAACACACAAATCTTCCAAACACGAAAGATGATGTCTGAAATCGTTCCAGCTATCCTGTAATTCATCTGGCAGGGCGTCTTCCCAATCTAAATTGTATTTCCATAATTCCTGCATTATCAATTTCGCTGTTATGGTAATCGGAGAAATGAGTCGTCCAATAGGATCATATATTTTAGCTATGGTAGAAAGCACAGATCTTTTAGTGTCTGCAGAAGTGATAAAAATATTGGAATAAGAGATTTTGAAAATATCATCAACTTGATTCCTTGAAAAACCTAATGTTTTTACAGTATTATTTTGTTCAGAAAAGTCTGTGGCTGACAAATTTTGTTGTTCCTTAGGAACATTACCTAACAACGAAAGACTATTACTTGACTACTTGTGTAACTGAAAACAACTTAGCTTCAACAGACTACAGACCTCCGATTTCAGCTGCCCTAGTTCCTGCTCTGACGATGCATCTGTAATTATGTCATCGACATAACAGTCCCTATCTAAAGTCTGCGAAGCTAGTGGATACTTGACAGAATTTTCTTCTGACAACATCTTTAGACAACGCATGGCCAAGTACGGTGCACATGAAGTGCCATATATAACTGTGTTCAACTTACAAATGTCAAGCCTTTTCTGAGGAGAATCTCTCCAAATAATTAATTGTGAATTAGCATCTGCATCCCTAACCTTAATTTGCCTATACATCTTAACAATGTCAGCGACAAAAACATACAAGTGACACCTGAAGCGAATCAAAATCGAAAACAAATCTTGTTGTAGTTTTGGACCTGTATGCATGACATTACTAAGCGACAAACCTGTGTAAGTTTTGCAAGAAGCATAAAAAACGACACGAATTTTATTAAAATTGCCATCCTTGAAAACCGAGTGATGATGTAAAAAATACTACATCAAAATCTTCTCCTGTAAGAGATGTAAGTTCGGCATGACCTAACTTTACATACTAATTAATAAAATTGGAGTAAGCTAAATTTAAGTCCTTATTTTTTACCAGCCTACGTTCCAAATTCAAAAAATGAGTTCTTGCCTGTGTGTAAGAATTTCTCAACTGATACTTCTTACCATCAATAAATGGTAAAGCAACTTCAAATTGGCCATTTCCTAAACGATGTACATTTGAAACAGTGTTCCTCACAAGCCTTATCTGAACCGGTAAGAGAATTGCTCAAAGAGATCTCGTTTATCTGCCAAAACTTAGCTAACTCCTCATGGAGATCTTCGTTAGAGATAAACCTGAATAAACACCAGACAACAACCATCCGAAGCGACTGTTCCTCAAAATTGTTAAGTTCTTCCCTAAGCGGATACAACACTGTTGCAGGATGTCAAAATATAGCTCGGCGCCCATCAACAAGTCTATTGGACCTGGAGTATTAAAATCTGGATCAGCTAATTGGACATGATCCGGGATTCTCCGGTGAGAATAATCAATAGATGAAGATGCTGAGTAATATTATCAATAATAACACAATACAATTTGTGTTCAAAAGAAGTTAGTTTAGATTTAATTTTAATCTTCACAGACTTATTACAAGTCATACTCTGCCTTTGTAAAACATTTAAATTATGAAGTGAAGAATTAATTGGAAGCTGGAGACGCGAAGCCAGCGATTTAGTAATTAAATTTATTTGTGAGCCATTATCTAAAAGTGCACGCACGGAATGTCTTTTGCCATTTGCATCAAAAATAATTAAGGAAACAGCAGAAAGCAGAGTTTGAGGATTCGAATGCGTCATAAGAATATTACTATTGTTGATAGGGGAAACCTTTTCCTCGTGCAACAAAGAATTATGTGATTTCTGGCATATAGAGCAAGGATACTTATATTTGCACTTCGAAATGCCATGTCGCGAAGCTATACAGCGAATACAAAATGAATGCTTAGAGACTAGTTCCTTTCGCTTCTTGACATCCTAAGCTTTGAAATCAGCACATTGGAAAATGGCATGCTCTCCCTTGCAACAGATGCAAGGTTGAGAAGCCTTCTTCACAATTATGTTGACTGTCTTAGCTGAGGGCTCTTTACAAACAGAACTAGAATTCTCTAAAGCTACCTCCCCTCATTTCAATAAAATTAAAAAAACTATTCAAACTTGGTAGTTCTGCTGACGTTTGAGATAAATTCCATGCAACTCTAGTGTTGTTATCCAACTTTTTCGACAACATGAACAAAAGAACGACATCCCAATACTTGACTGGTTCAAATAATGCAGTCAAAGCCTGAACTTGCTGTCTTGCATTCACGCTCTCAAATTTTTAAAAGAACCTTTACTAATAGGGGAAATTTTATCGATTGAGTTTAAGTGAGCATTAATGATTAAAAAACATATTGTCATATGTTTTTAAAATGAGATTATAGGCTACTGTGTAATTTTCATTAGTTAATTTTAAAGAAGAAATAATGTTTGAAGCTGAACCTGTGAGAGTACCTTTTAAATAATGCAACTTCTGCACGTCAGACAATTTAGCATTTGTGTGAATCAATGAGTTGTACAGGTCAATAAACGCTGTCCATTTACTAAATTCACCACTAAATGTAGGCAACACTATGTCAGGCAACTTAACATCTACTGAACTATTAGAGACCCTAATCGAATTATTAGGAATATCCCTACCATCAATCAAAGTCTGAATCGCAGCCATCAAAGTTAATATAATTCTGAATATTCTAAAAATACCTTAGTGTACTTCCCTGGCTTCAACCTATTTAGCTCAATGTAATTTGTTTCCCACTCATGTGATCGCTCAACCAACTTTTGCTTCTGTGCAATCAACAGATTTATGTTATCATCCTCACGGAATCCTGCCACAAACTTTCTAATGGAATCAAAAGATGTCTTGATAATTTCGTGAACATCTTTCAGAGTATCGATGTCAGCCATTTTAAAGTTGTTCAAACAAATCTACAAATAAAAAATAATGAGAAAACCACAATAACAATGAAATATTAACTAGCTCTATAATAACATAAGATAAATATTAATCTGATATACAGTGTAAAAGAGAAAAGAAAAGTATACATATAATAATACTATAAAAAATATATAAACAGCTACTGGAAAATTTAAAGGATCTATCTGTACATAACACAGATGAACTAAAATATAATATAAAACAATATTATGGCATTTAATATAAAAATAAATCTTCTAATCAGCTTTGAGAATAAATACTTCACAGAGAACCACGCTAGGTGATCTCAAATATATAACCAAAATCCCACGTGGTCTGCGAGTTAGAAAGTTCCTCCTTTGACCTTGGCGTACTTCTGGAAAACACCGTAGTAATCGAAGCTGGATATAATGCAGCATCGTACAAATTGTCCTCCTCGTACAAATCGTCTGCCTCGAACAAACCTACCGCTTGTAGATTTTGTCCTCCTTGCAACTTAGCTTCGCCGTGTTGTAACGCCGGCTAACCTCAAATACCTCGAGCAGCTTTTACTTCGCCCAACGAATTGTAATAAATAACGAAAGTCTCGAAATACTGGTAGCAACAGCTCTGCACTTATAATTACCGAAAAATTGTAAGGCCACGTTGATTTAATGAATAATGCGAACGCAAGAACGTGTGTTTTGTTTATAGGTTAATGACAAAGCACACATAATCTAGCAAGGATAAGCGCTGGTATAAATATATGTTATTCGGTGAGATGGACCAAAATATGGTCAAATAAAAATGCTTCCTTAAAATTACTCAGTTTATTTTAATGTTTCGCAATTCAGCAAGAAGAGAGTTATTTTACAGTTTCGACATGAACATAAATATAAGATGGCGGGTACATGGTTTGAGTAGGGGAGGGCTATTGCCAACATTACTAATAGTAATGGCGGGACATTTGAATTACAAATATATATCATTTATAATTATATATCATTTATAATTATAATCATATATATATATATATATATATATATATATATATATCATTTATAATTACCTCTGAACAATTTCTTGAACTGCTATGTTATTTTTTAAGCCAAGCCATGAACATTGCATGGCGAGCTCATTTTTCATCAATCTCTTACACACATTTGCTATGTGTGCCTGTGCAGTTATGCCCCCAACTTTCATTACTAAGAGTTGCTAAAACAATAATGAAAAAAATAAGTGTGCATATATAAATATAAATATTACATACTAAACATATATACAGATATATATGTATCTACTATATTTATACTAGAGGAGACTTACAAATTCTGTACAAAACTCGGCATCATCTTTTAGACGCGATTCTAAATCATTTAACTCGTTCTCAGTGGCAGCATTAAGTCTATATTCTTGTGCAGTGACACATCAATTGCTTGATTTTGACGTGTCGTCAAAACCTGGCCATCTTGGATGTAGCGCATAATTACCGCTATTTGGGCATTCATGGCATCAACACTCTCAATTATTTTAGCATTAAATAATTATTAAATTATGTAAAAATATATATATACACACATATATACGAGTATATATATATATATATATATATATATATATATATAAACATTTAACTAACCTTGCAATCTGGTGGTCCGTAAATCATTATGCGTGGAGCTGGTACAAGTATTTGGGATTGGAGATCGCCTGGGTGATAAATTGTACTCCACCTCCGCAGCGTAGTTATATTGGGGTTCGGGTGCGTAGGTCTGTTGGGTCTCGGGAGCGTAGGTCTGTTGGGTCTCAGGAGCGTAGGTTTGTTGGGTCTCGGGAGCGTAGGTGTGTTGGGTCTTGGAAGCGTAGGTGTGTTGGGTCTTGGGAGCATTGTGTGTTGGGTCTTGAGAGCGTAGGTGTGTTGGGTCTCGGGAACGTAGGTGTGTTGGGTCTTGGAAGCGTAGGTGTGTTGGTTCTTGGAAGCGTAGGTGTGTTGGGTCTCGGGGCTGACCTCCGAAGTCAAAACTGTTTTGCAAAATAGAATTTAATACATCATGATTCGGAACATTTACACAAAATTACTGCATTTTACATTTACCTCTAACTTTTGTTCCTAAATTTGATTCTAGGTACTGTAAGTTAAAACCATCCACACAATCTGATTCATATAGAGCAATATCTACATAGTGATGATTATATCATTATTTTAACATAATCGAATGTAATTTATGATTTATAATTTTACTCCTTTCTTACCTTCATCATACGACGTATATGATGCCTCTGATGTCCACACAACTTCCTCTCCTTCCTTTTACCAACTTCATTAAGTTGGTTAATTAGAAGTGTATTCTTCATCTCCTGCATGTCTCCTCGCAGAGATGTAAGATTCTAGAACGAATATTTAGATGAAGCAGCCCTTAGGACTTCAATGCCAACTTAAAACTCATTCCTCACCATAGAATGCCTTAAAAACTACTGCTTCTTGGGTCCATGTTTTCCGATCTATGGACGCTTTTCTCTTAACCATCAATGTAATGTCTTTGTATCTAGGTGGCCACCAAACTTCCTTTATGGACCCATCATCGTTAATAATGAGCCACTCTTTGGGCACCTCGCAGGGGCTGCCAGCCATTAATACTACAGCATAATCCTTCATAATATTGAATGCAATACCAAAGTTTAATGACTACAAGAAAAAATCAAAATATTTGTTCAGGACGTCACCTCACAATGCATACAATAAGTGGTAAAGTCTGATTTCGGCCAAAATTTAACACGTGTTTGGGTACATGATTTTACACAAATAATCAAACTT